CGCTCAGCCAGTGAGCGGGAGCCGGTCCGTATGTGGGATCCGAACCCTCGGACGGGAGCGCCGCCGCGCTTCCCAAGCGGCGCACTATCCAGTGCGCCACCGGGCCGGCCCAATAATGTACTTCTTGAATGTAGAAAAATTCTAACCAGGCTGGTTGGTTAGTTCAGTGGATTAGAGTACAGCCTCATAACCCCCAAGGTCATGGTTTTGGATCCCCATACTGGCCAGCCACCAAAAAAAGGAAAATTCTAGCTAGATTGTAAAATATATAAAGCGACCAGCACACTGGAAAAGCTGCTGTCAGTTTCTATTGATGGTAAAAACTGATTCCCACTTCTTTCCTAACTCAGGACGAGAATCCTGAAAACCAGGAAGAGTTAAATAACTTTTCTCAATTACATTTTCAAAATTACCTGGACTCGCAGCTTTGCGGCATCCATCTTTTTACGGAACTCTTTCTGTAATTTTACCTTCATAGGAAGATCAGAAAGATCTTTGTTTTCCAGGTCCTGTAGCTGCTTTTGTGTTTCAGTTAGTTCCACTTTCGCCTGTTCTGCTTCATGCTCTAGTTTTGTTACTTTCAGAGAATACCGTTTGCTTACAGACTTGGCATCGTTACCTTCACCATAAAAATAATAGTAATAAGAATTATAAATTAAGTAAATAAAAAATATTAAAACATGTAAAACATAAAAATGCTCTACTCTAAAAATCCAGCTGGGCAGTGTTACTATTTAAGACATAGCATTAAAGACCCAGCTGTCCCCACCTATCCCCATCGAACACAGCTTGCCACCAAGCCTCTTGATGATTAGTTCCTTAATGATTGTTCCCATCTGATGCCATTAATCTTCTCATTGATTCATCTTTTGTGTTTTAGTGTGACATTTCTGATCCTCTGAATGTGCAGTTGAGCTTTGCTGGCATCAACCTCCAGTTAAGAAATTTATTTGGAGCAACTCTGTCCTCTTACTTAGTCCACTTTGGTTTCCTGCCTCCCATAATTTGTCTCCTTGAATTCTTTTCTTTTTAATTAGTATAAAAAATTTTGAATATATATAAAGAAATAATAAAATGAACCCCCATCACCCAGGTTCTAGAGTTATCAAGATTTTGTCACAGTTATTTCAACAGTTCTTGTTTTACTTTACTTAAATATTACAAAGCAATCCCAGATGTCATGTCATCTCACCTACACATACTTCAATAAACACACATACAAAATATGGACATAACCAAAAAGTCATTATCACACCTAACGATATTAATACCCACCAGTCCTGGGCCGAGCCTGTGGCGCACTCAGGAGAGTGCAGCATTGGGAGCGCAGCAGCGCACTCGCCGTGGGTTCAGATCCTATATAGGGATGACCGGTGCGCTCACAGCACTCACTGGCTGAGCGCTGTGTGGCCGGTCTCAAAAAAAAAGGACAAAAAAAAAAAAAAAATACCCACCAGTCCATATTCAGACTTCTCCAATTGTCTCAAAATGTCTTTTACAATTGGTTTATTATAATCAGGATCCAAACAAGGTCCACAATACATCTGATTGCTACATCTCTTAAGAACTGACCCCCTCCCTTTTCATCACATTGAACTCATTAAAGATTAATTCTTTTAAAATGATTTTCTTATCAATATTTAGAACATAGAGAAAAACAGAATATAGATATTTCTATATCTTTTCATTCTAAGCCCAGCTACTTAGACCGTAAAAGCTTGGTTTTGATTTGCTCTGAACAGGCAACTGTCTCTGAACTAGACTGGCAAACTCGTGGCAGTAGGAAATAGGAGTCTAGAGCTGACAGGATGAATAATTGCCAGGCACAGTTTATGACACTGTTATAGTTTGTTATAATGCTATACAGAAAATGTTGTAATTTTTTTGGGCCGGGCTGTGGCTCACTTGGGAGAGTGCGGTGCTGATAACACCAAGGCCACGGGTTCGGATCCCATATAGGGATGGCCGGTTGCTCACTGGGTGAGCGTGGTGCTGACAACACCAAGTCAAGGGTTAAGATCCCCTTACCGGTCATCTTTAAAAAAAAAAAAAAAAGAAAATGTTGTAATTTTTAAAATAAAAATGAGTTATTGAACTAAATGCGCTGCAAATGTCTTCTGGCTCTAAAACTCTATGATTATTTGACTAAGTTTAAAATATGACTACTATATTTTAATGACTCTTGGATTATTTATCAATTGCTCAGCACACCAATATTTTATTAGCCACTAAAAAAAAAAAAATACAGTGCCAGGGCCGGCCCGGTGGTGCACTGGAGAGTGCGCCGCTTGGGAGCGTGGCGGCGCTCCCGCCGAGGGTTCGGATCCCATGTGGAGACCGGTTCCCGCTCACTGGCTGAGCGCGGTGTGGGCACAACACCGAGGGTTGCGATCCCGTTGCCGGTCCCCGGTGTGGGCGTGACACTGAGGGTTGCGATCCCGTTGCCGGTCCCCGGTGTGGGCGTGACACCGAGGGTTGCGATCCCGTTGCCAGTCAGTAAAAAAGACAAAAAAAAGGAAAAAAAAAAATACAGTGCCAATTACAGTGTGATAAAATGCTAAGCTGCCATTATTTGAAAGATGCATCCAAATTTCAGGTATATTAAAATGTGAAAAAAATGTGTATTGGAAATGATGAAATACAATACAGTCCTATTATTGTTGGCTGAAGGAGCTGCTATTTGGGAGGTCTTTAATGAGAGGACTTTGAAAAGTAAGCACACACTGACCCTTCTGCTAGTCACCATCTCTTAGGTTCTTTAGGAAAGCTCCAAACTGCCCTTGGTTCTAACAAGTAAGAGGACCTTCTCTGTGTAAGCTCAGGTATCCTCTATTTTCAGTCAACCAGGATGGGTATTCTATGCTACAAAAGCACACTTGTTTAGTGAGACCTGTGGAAAGAGAACCTCTTTGACAGAGAATCATTTATTCCAGGGGGTAAATATCCTCAACTTCCACAGGCAGTACCCTGAAATCTTGGGAAGAGAAAAGCCATTTAAATCCCTCGATCAGCTCCTAAGAGGGGTTGACTGGCATTTGATCCTGCCTGTGACAAAGGAGCACGGTGACACTCAATTAAACATCCGAGTTAACTGGAGCTGGGATGATGCACAGAACATACATCATAGGAACAAGGAAGGAAAAGGCTTTGGGAAAGGAGCTAAGAAGAGGTTGAGGAGGAGGACCAACAGCCAGAAACTAAGCTTGCAGGAAGGAGGAGAGAAGTGGGAAGGCAGATTTCTTCTTGCTGGCAGCGGATTTGGGACACACCATGATTTATGTAGTTTGAGTGTGATTATAGCCTTGGGCTTGAAGAAAAGGAAAGTAATATTTCCTTCAGTTCCCCTCCATGAGACCAGACAGTTGTTTTTCACTGGAGTTGGGGAAAAGAAATACTCTATTCCTTCAAATCTTTACTGAATTTCAAAGCAGTCAAGGCTGATACTTTCAGTATAGTGGGGGGAGGGGGAGAACCAAAAAGCGTGATGTAAGGGAAACCTAATCTAGCTGAGGATAAGGAGAGGATGGTGTATATACCCCCAACGTGGCAGAATTTAAGACATAAGAGAACAGTGATAAGCTTGGCTCACCTAAGAGAACTGCTCCTGAGAATAAATCCTTATATCTTTAGAGAAATAAAAATCATCTGAAATATAAAGTGGATTATTTTCCATGCAGCAGAAGACCTCCCTTAATCTTCGTTTTTGGTCCTCTTTGCTAAGAGCTAGTGATATGGTCATAATACTGCAGTTCAGAAGAAAGGAGCAGAGCTAAGTAATCAAGAAAATGCCTCCTCTTCAAACAGATGTAGAGCAGTAAATAGAAGCTATAGAACGGTTTAGGAATTGTGTAACAAGGGAGTTTAACAAACTATCTGCCGTGTTAGAGGAAGGATAGGCAGAGAGCTCGATATGTATCACTATCACAGAGCTGAGAGAGTTCATGGAGAGAAGACACAAGCTGGATTGTCCACAGAATCACATTACTGAAGTAAATGCAAAACGAGAAAGTCTCACAGAATGCAGAGATAAAGGGAAAAGAAATCAAGATAAGAAAAGAGAAAGAGAGAGACCTACATGGCTGGCCCAGGAGATACAATCTACGCATAATAGGAATATCTGAGACAGAGGACAGAGCAAATGGAATTGAAACAGTAACGAAGGAGCTAACTGAGGAAAAATTTCCAAAGTTGAACACACTAGATTTACAAATGGAAAAAGTACACAGGGTACCTTTAAAATTCAATGAAAAGAAAGCAACACCTATACATATTCAGGTGATATTTTTAAATTTCAAGGATAAAGAAAAAATTCTACAGGTATCCAGGCAGAGAGAGCAAGTTACCTATAAAGGGGCAAAAGTCAGGCTGACTTCAGATTTTTCTCTTGCAACTCTAAATGCCAGAAGACAATGGAACAATATCTACAGAGTTTTTAAGGGAAAATGATTTTGAGCCAAGAATTATATACCCTGCCAAGTTATCATTTCTGTACAAGGGCAACTGGAAGACATTCTCAAATATGCAGATTAAGAGAGTATGTCAACCAAGAACCTTCCCTGAAAAGTTTGCTGAATGATTTACTGCAGCAAACAGAGAACACGAACTGAAGTAACTCAAGAGTAGGGAGGCAGTTGTGTGAAAGATTTAATCTTGTTTTTCAGTTAGCCTGGAATTGCAAACTTGCCATGAGACACGTACCGTCCAGATCCCAGGAAACCAAAGAAGATATCGATAAAGCTATACAGGTTCCATCCTGAAGCCCATCAAAATCCAGCAGGACCCTAAGATAACATCAAGGATGGGAACAGAAACCAGATGGACCCTTGGCAAGACCTTGCATCCGGCTCCTGCTCAGAGCCCCCACAGCTCACACCCCGTCCCTCCTTTTCACTTCCCACATTCCATTCCCTCAACCCCCTCTTTACAAACCCTCAGTAAGTCTTGAGTTTTTGAGATGGCTTTAGTTTGGCCATTCTCCTTCATGTTTACTGGAGAGATGGATTTACCCAACATCTCTCCTCAGGTCACTGGTGTTCCTGAGTAAAAGCTGACTTCCCATTCCACCAAAAATAAAAATAAAAATAAATACAGTAAAATATAAAGTGTATAATTAATGTTAAAGTGAATTCCAAAAAATGAAGACTAATAATTTTAACTAATTAATTATTAAAATGAGTTAGAAAAATATCTCAGACATATTCCTAGATGCCTAGTATAATATTTCTTAAAAAATGGCCAGGGGACTTGCAATCAAGATGGTGGAATAGATGGTCCCCAGCATTACCCTCTCCTACAATCAACCTATTTACAACTATTAAAAAGCAATGACTGCCAAGCTGGGGCTGCTAGAGCTCAGGGGAAGAGGAGGAGAGACCAACGAAGTTCATGAAGGCAGGAGAAGCCATGATGAGAGAAAGAAAGGACCACTCTGACCATTCGAGGCCCAACCATTTCAAGGTTGGCCCTGATGAACACACGGAGCAAAAGTTAGCAAAAGCCGCAGCTGTGCACTTTGTGTGAAGGTGCTTGGAGGGGGCAGGGGAGAAGAGGGCCTCTGTGGCCCCCAGGCCAGCAAGACCATTAACAGGGTTCCTGTGGACCCACATAGGAGTGACAGGCCACAGACAACTGAAAAAAGGAGCCACTCCAAGGCCAGTTAGTCATCGCAAGGGACCGGTGCATGGCCGGTCCCATCGGAAGTGTTTGGAGTGTGGGTGGTGGGGGAGATGGGCCACTGGGGAAACATTGGGACATGGCAAGGACAGCTGATCTGCCCTCCAGTCAGCACGGGACTAGTCAGTGGAGACTGGTCAGGAATACAGAACTGCAGGGGGTGCAGTTTGCTAAAAAGACTCAGAGCCAGACCAGAGTTTCCACACAACCCAGGTGTACCAAACCACACAAAACCCGGAAGTGCTTACAAGGTCAACCATTAAAACCTGAGCTGCACAAAAAGCTTTCTCCAGAGAATCAGCAGCAAACAGCAATGTAGCTCAATTACAGGGCTCAAGTGCTGCTCCCCACAGGAAGTTCCCCCATTTCAGAACTAAACAAGGGACAACAAATTAGCTCTAGTGCAGAGTTTAAGTGGTTGGAATAGTGAATACTCCAACACAGAAGTGAAAGGAAAAACAAAAAAACCCACAGATCAGAAACAAAGTTCTAATATTAACCAGCAAAGTTCTAACAACACCAAAGAACACCTATAAAACCTAGGACTGGAAGGCCCCCAGGCTCCTAAGCTGGTGTGATGGGGGGCCAAGGGCCTCAGCCAGGCAACCCCAACATCTGCATCCAGCCCAGCAATGACAACCAAGCTGTGACCAGAAGCACCCCAGGCTGCCGGGGTGGTGGAGGGCTGAGGTCCTCAGCCATGCCCCCCAACATCAGCACCGAGCCACCACCAGAAACCCCCTGAGCTCCCCTGCCAGAATGAGGCGGGTGCCACAGGTCTCAACCATGCCCCCCCGCCTTCAACCCTCTCCCCCTCCGCTTTTCCCTCTTCCCCTTCTCCCAACAGCTCCACAACAGCATCTTAGGACATATGATAATAATAACAATAATGATAATAACAATACAATTAAAATAAAACGAATCATGGACTTAAGATAAAAAAGGCCAAAAAACCCCATTAAGGCAACAGAGTTTCAGTTCCAACACAGAGTTCACACTGTATGAAAATCTCAACATAATAAAGTTCTTTTGATAACTAAGCGTCACATAATAGCTCTAAAACATACCTTGTTATACCAAATTCAAGCTACCATAGATAGTCTTGAGCTTCAAAAACTAAAGTAAATGTCACTACATCAGAAGCAATTTTGGAAGCTTTTCGTTCTCATATAAGCTGATTTACGGGATACTATTACCTGTTTTTATTAATTCTTTGATCAAATCTTCCTTCATCTTGATGTTAATTGTAAGTGCTCTCATTTTTTGTTTAGCTTCAGTAAGTACACATTCTGAATTCTTTAATTTTTGCAAATTCAACTCTTGACTCCCCTGGAGACATTCAATTTTTAAATCTTTAAAATAAAAGAAAATCAAGAAATAAAACTATCTGCTTCAATAGAAGTAGAGTTAAAAAAGAAAAACAGACACAAAAGAAATTTAAAGGTAGCAGAGGAAGAGATAAAAAAGAAGAGAAGACAAGAAAAAAAATAGCGATTGGGATTTTAGCTTTCTAGCTCACAGTAAGAATTTCCATTTTTAAAAATTAAAAAAAATATATATATGCTTCAGTCATATTCCATAGTTTTGGACAGACAGTTTTACATTCCCTTTAACCTGAGTCATTTGAGATAGGTGTAAAATCTCATGGTGGGTAGAGGGATGACTTTTTTTTCCTATTAACTTTTAATTTTATTGTAATCAGAGAATGTAGCCTACTATGCTACTCAGAGTGTGGTCCAGCACTGTTTGCTTCTGTCCTGCACCAGAATGTAAATCAAATATGTCACTAAAGCACACTACTTTAGTTCCACTGGTGTTTGTTTTCACAGCAAGATTTTGCTTCCTTTTTAATGAAGGAACCAGTGTACTCACTTACATTCTGGCACAAGTTTCTTCCCTGGTTGTAGACCAGTCACAAAAGGCTCAAGAATGGCTACTTGAGTAGCACTCATCTTTACTATTTCCACATTTTGAGATTTAGTTTTACTTATAGTCAATTTTTGGTAAATATTACATGCATAGGCTCTTTAAAAGATGCTCTCTATTTTCATGTGTAGCACTTACCATGTTATTTATATTCTAATATACCCTTGCCTTTTGTGGGTTGACCACTCACTGGCCAAGAGAGATGAGTTAAAATATCCTACTAGACTATAGTTTTTGCAGCATAAATGTTTTTGATGTTGTTACTTGATGCATAAAATTTTCATCAATTGTGTACTAAAACATTACAAGCACCCAGTAGACTACAGATGGTCCCCAACTTAACAATGGTTCTAATTTTTGAACTTCACAATGTTGCAAAAGCGATAACACATTCAGTAGAAACCATACTTGAAGTTTTGATCTTTTCCCAGGCTATCAATATACGGTATAATACTCTCTCTCCATGCTGGGCAGCAGCAGCAAGCCACACCTCCCAATAGGTCACACTGTCATAAGTGTTCTGAACACGTTTTCAAAATAGGCCAGGATAGGCGAGGCTACGCTATTATGCTCAGTAGGTTTGGGTATAGTAAATGCATTTTTGATAATGTTATTTCCAACTTGATTTTTTTTTTTTTTTTTTTTTTTTTTCTTTTTCATGACCGGCAAGGGGATCGCAACCCTTGGCGTGGTGTCGCCCACACCGCGCTCAGCCAGTGAGCGCACTGGCCATTCCTATATAGGATCCGAACCCGCGGCGGGAGAGTCGCTTCGCTCCCAGCGCCGCACTCTCCCAAGTGCACCACGGGCTCGGCCCATATTTTCAACTTACATGTTTTTTGGGAGGTAACCTCATTCTAAGTCGAGGAGCATCTGTAATTGGGCTCTAATGCCAACTACATCACTAACATTAGGCATGAGAGCCAATGAAGCAGTGAGTAAGCACCTAGTACATTACTTATTATGTATTTTAAAGTAATCAAGAGTACAAAGCATATAAACCCCGGTCTGAATATTGAAATCCCTCTTCTGAGAGCATTAGCCTGTATCTGTAGCCAGAATTGATTAGTAGAAAACCTTTTTTTTTTTTATTAAGGAATAAAGAGAGTGAAAAATTAGAAGCAGAACAGAGAACATAAAATTCTACCACCTAGAAAAGCATTCCTACTAAGTTCTGGTCTTTGAGAAATCCCAGATGTTTCTTAAACTAAGAAAAAAGAAGTTTCCTATAACCATTAGACCCAAATTATTTGAGAATGTTTATGTACCTTCATTCCCCAACCTTGACTTTTGTGTTTCATCCTGAGTATCATTCAATCTGACCGAAGAACAAACAGAGTCTGGCTTTTCCCATGAGTGACTTCCACATCTTAAAAAAACAAGATCAGGATCAAAGGTAACTTGTTTGTTAGCATTTTCTAATCTGCCCTCAAATTAGTTTCTCCAAAAAATGACAATAATATAAAAAGCTATTATATAAAATAAACAGAATTTTACTAATATTCCTCAAAATAAAAGGATACCCCTCATGTTGGATCCAGTGGAAACTTCATCGCTTGCTGCCACTGTGGCAGCAGAATCAGGAAATCCAAAAAATTCCCTCTGAAAATTAGAATCTAACAACTATAAAGCCTCTGAAAGCAAAATCATTTTCCATTGTAAGACTGATGACTTTGCATTCAAATACTATTTTCATAAAACATTAGTTAACAGTACATTTAGCAAAAACTACCTACTCTTACATTAAATGGAAAAGATACACTTTAATGAAGAAAACCTATATTTTCTATATTGACTGCATCACATAATTATGTTTATGAAATCAGTCTATATTTAATGTACCTAATTACAGACTTCTCTAGGCCCTCGGATTCCTCATCTTCACTGTCATCAGAAAACTGGTGGTGAAGGACTTGATCTTGCTCTTCTAAGCGCCTCACCAGCATCTGGCTCCGCGATCGAAAGCCAGCGAGTATTGCATCCGGAGAGCACGCAGGAGGACTCGTGTACACCTGGCAAGTGATTCCCCACCCAACAACAAAAAAAGTGACTTTTAAAAAGTCTATTTTTATCCTATTGCTTAAAATGTTTTTAAGAGATTATTAGACAGGTACTTTTAAAATAGTCAATCACTAGGGCCGAGCCCGTGGCGCACTCGGGAGAGTGCGGCGCTGGGAGCGCAGCAGCGCTCCCGCCGCGGGTTCAGATCCTATATAGGGATGACCGGTGTACTCACAGTGCTCACTGGCTGAGCGCGGTGCAGCCGGTCTCAAAAAGGACAAAAAACAAACAAACAAACAAAAAACAAAAAGGAAACCAGAGAGGCATGGAAAACATCCCAGCTCAGGCACTCCCCAGCAAACGTGCCCACTCTCCAGTCTTCCACTTCATAACACCTGGACAATTGTGGTGTTGCTGCTAAAGGTCCTCATCCCCCTCCGATCCAAATCCCATCACCAGAAAAAATCCAGAGCCACTGCCACCCACTTCTACCAGGACAAAATATTTTCACTTTGGATACAGGAATGTATTTACTCATACTTTATATGTGGTGGTTAGCTATAGCTGAGTTACTGCTCTAAGTGATACATTTAATATGTTATAGATATATGCATGCTAAAATATAGAAAGTTCCCAGATAAATTTTTATGGGCTATCCTGGGAACTTTCTATATTACAGTATACTTCTATTGGAAATACACTTTGGGCTGGCCTGTGGCTCACTCGGGAGAGTGTGGTGCTGATAACACCAAGGCCACGGGTTCGGATCCCATATAGGGATGGCCGGTTGCTCACTGGGTGAGCGTGGTGCTGACAACACCAAGTCAAGGGTTAAGATCCCCTTACTGGTCATCTTTTTAAAAAAAAAAAAAAGGAAATACACTTTAAGTTCTCAAAAAATGACCTTGGAAAACAACAACAATGAGTTAGAAATTGCCTTTTTACTTTTGTTCTAGTTTCTATTACCTAATATTTCCTTTTTCATTACCTTTCTGTAACCATAGTTCAGGGTGACTTCACTAAAACAATAAATAATAAAATCTTAGAGGAAGGGCTGGCCAGTTAGCTCAGTTGGTTAGAGCACAGTCTTGTAACACCAAGGTCAAGTGTTCAGATCCCCTTATTGGCCAAAGCCAAAACCAAAAAAAAAAAAAAAAATCTTAGAGGAGACATTCAATTTATTTATATAGATCATTATAAGTTGTTAAAATTATAACATATAGTGGAATATATGTATCATATGGTGCTCAAGATTAAATCAGTTGACAGTATGTCCCTAACATATCCCCTCCCAGAAAAACCTACCTGGTACTGAAGTTCCTGACATCTTATTTGTACCTCCACTGTTAGTCACCTAACTAGACCATCTGTCACATCAATACCATGATGGATGGAGGGTAAAGTTTTCTAGTTGGTCTCCCAATTCTCGGGTATGGGATATGAGGGAGGGAATTCTTTACAGAAAAACTAACTCAAGAAATATTTACCTAACAAGTACAATGCACCCAGCATGGCCATTTATCCCCATAAGTGACAGGCATCAAGGTTTCACTTTTCAGGATTTGGGAATTATTTCAGGAGCAAATAAAACATTTTGGTTCAGCCAAACTTTGTTCTCTGGGATTGTAAATTTGCTTTTAAGTTTTCTCTTTACAAAGAAAATCCAAATGGTGCAGCTTAATAATGAACACCAAATAAGGTCAGCCAGAATGAGTAATATTTAGCAAGTTAAATCTTTAACAGTCATTCTACCCAACGTAATGGTTCTTTGCCCCTTCCAGACTCGTAAAGCCTTCTGTGGTCCTGCTGAGGTGTTGGGTTCTTCTCCTCAGTTGCTTCTGTATTCCACAGCTCACTACTAGAGATATTTTAGCATTTTCAACCATACTCCAAACAGTATTGATCACAAAATAAACACTGAAATAAGGTGATTCAGCTGAAGAGTATCTGTCTAAAAGCCAGTTTTTTTTATTCTAACCATTTTTCCTTAGAATTACATAGCCAAAGGCTGGAAAGAACTTACCTGGTTCAACCAGTCA